TTCATTTAATTTGTATAATCTAATATTGGCCACGTCGCCTCCCTCTCCCCCCACACATAAACTCACTGCAATTTTTTATATTTCATGGGTCATTATTTATTAGATTTTGATGATTTCGTAGTTATGGGCTTAAATTTTTGTATATTATCAATAATGTCTCGTTCAGGAATGGAATATCCTCCAAAAAAAAATCTCAAATTTCTTTTATTTATAATATTGATCCCTATAATCTAATAAAAAATTGGACTATTTTCCCTTTGAGGAACCAAAACTAAAATAAGAACAAATTTAAAAGACTAAAGATTATATTAACCCAATTAAAAATACATGCAAAATCATTTATTCACTTGTTATTATTACATTAAAATTTAATGTAAAAATATTTTAAAAGATAAATATTTAATTAATGTCTTTTAAGTAAAATCTTGTGTCCAAAACAGCACCGACACAGACAGATACGCAAAAGGCTAAAGATGGATAAAGATAGACACTAATTGTTTTTTGATTGCACATGTATTAATGGTTTGTCTGTTTCCATGCGTGGATGCTTTAATTGGTAAAAATTGACATGTGTAGGTTAAAACAGTAGGATTCATGATATATCGTTGGTTAGGGTCATTTTTTATATTTTGGGGGATATACCAGAAATACCGAAACCAGTTGGATATTTTAAGGAAATATCTAAAAAGAAAGGAAAAATGACAAATAAAGACCCTTGAATTATCAAAATTACACAGAGGTCACCTGAACAAGCAAAATTACCATGAAGGACCCAGTCTCATATTGTAAATATGAAATCTTGGCAAAATGTCTGAAATGCCCCTCAGTCAAATTATAATTTGATCCACTGAAGTTGTCATCCGCTAAAGTAAACTTGTTATTTCCTATAGTCAACTTGTCATTTAGCATACCTTCAATCAAGTTATGATTTAATCTACTGAAGTTGTTATTCGTTAAATTGAACTTGTCATTTGACTGAGGGGCATTTCAGACATTTCATCAAGATTTCATATTTACAATATGAGACTGGGTCCCTCATGGTAATTTTGCTTATTCAAGTGACCTTTGTGTAATTTCAGTAATTTAGGGGTCTTTATTTGTGATTTTTTCAAAAAGAAAAGGACGTTTTTCCTGAAAAACACACAATATGCTTCCATCATTATTTACAAGTTTCAATATGAGTCTGGAAGCCAGGTAGCAGAAGAATATCCTGTTCATATGCTCTTGTCTGTTTATTTTTGAGTCACGTATCCCCTTTTTATATAAGGCGGATCAGATCAAAATTATTGTTTTTTATTTTCTTAAAAAAAGATGTTAATTCTTAAATATTTTTAAAAAAATTAATTGTAGTTCCAACTTGTTTTAATTTTTTCAAACTTATTTTAATATTCAGTCATCAAAATTTTCTGCTGTCTTCTTTTCTAATGTTTAACCTAGTAATGATATTGTTATTACTAGTATTTTTTTGTTTGTTTAACATTAATCCGCAATATACTTCTGTATATTCCGCTTTAGACATCAGTACTCTTAATGGCAGTTAATTGGGAACAAATATTAATCAGGCGACAAAATCTTAGAACAAAAAGGATATTATTCTCTGGCAAAAAAAAAAGAAGATATTATTGGTGCACATATACTCATAATTGAATTTAGATAAATTAGTTTTAGCTTTGGATCACATAGTATAAAATTTTTTTTTTGGGCAAAAGCTTTTATTTATTTTTTCAATGGTGTAATATTTATGGTTTATGGGTAATGGATCTGTGCCCGCATGTGTTTCTGAAAATCTAATTTGGCAGCGTGCATTTGATCCTCTGGCAAAAGTGTAAATCTGAATTTGAAGTTACCAAAAACAAAGAAAAAGGAAAAAAAAAAATCATCAAGATTCAACAACGCCACCGCCTTGCAGCGACAAGGGATTAACTCTCATGACATGAATTTTTTTTGGCAAAATAAAGGAAAATTTTAGTTTGTCAATAACCGAGTTAACCGACTTTTCCCGGGCAATTGAGAGGGCACTCATTTATTATATATTGGCTAATGAAAATTGGAAAACATAATTAGAAGGGCAGCCAAGCAAAATCATAAATTACGAGAAGTAATATCAACTTTATTCTTTTTTTTTACCTGAATATCAATCAATCAATTTTATTCTTAAAAACTTGTAAATTAATAGAAATTTAGTTGGCCTATAATTTATAAGCAGAAATTAGAATTCAATTCACCAATAATATAGTAATATTATTTATTTTATGGTGTTCTTTATAATTCAAGATGCTTCTTTTCTGTTCTTTTTATATAAAAAGCATAACTTTTTTATACGCATTGAGAAAGTTACTTAAAATTGTTTATTTTTATAAAATATGTTAAATTTCTGAAAGTATAATTTTTCAATGAAATTTATGAAATTAATATAGTGTTATCTTTCTATATAATTAAAGAACTAAGAAAAATTAATCAATCCGTTCATTTTTGGATTTTCTTGATAAAAAGAATTCAATTTTATTAATCACAAAAAAGTATTACAATTACTAATAGGTGAGTGTAAAAAAACACTCAACTTATTCTATCAGTACAACTTAACAGACAAATACTCAAACAATAAAAAAGAATGAAACAGCATTATATAATAAGAGAGTTCTTAATGTTATTAGATAATATTATTGTTGAGAAATAATTAACATTTTTAGAAGTGTGTAAAAATCTGTTGCTGATAAAAATAAGAAAAATTTTAAAAAAGAAGTTGAAGGACAAAAGAAGTTGAAACGGGATGGCAGATAAGAGGCGAAAGACGCCAAAAAAGCTCACATCATTGCAGAGAGGAGAGATCCAAAGGCCACCTCTTACCTTGATACACGTGAATTCTCAACTAGTTCCTTAACCCTATTCCACGTCAGCCCTGAGAATCTAGTGTACCCAATAACGTCCGGCCACCTCAGCAGATAAGGAACCTTTTCCAGAAACCCCATGCGAAGCTTTGCAGGCCCTATTATTGCCGTGAGAGGGCTGACTTCCAGTCGTCCTGCGCCCACATCCACCCCTATACATAGCCACTTCTTTTGTTTATGTTCGTGGGATCTTCGGACTGTAAATTACTCAACTGGCCGGATCTCCATCTCCATAGTTTAAATAATAACAACAACAATAATACTCTTCCGGTCTTTAATATAGAACCCAATTATTAAGTTGATTTTAATCCTCAATATAAGATTCATTTATCATATTTATCAATTTTATCTAAATTGCCCTTATGTATACTCCCTTAACCATAATCAAGTAGAAGAGGAAGATGTGGTATTAATAAAGATGATTATGATATTTTAAGAAAAACATGTCACATTTATTATAATTAACTAATTTACCTAACTTTCTTAATATAATCAAATTAGTTAAATAGGTCTTATATTAAGGAGCGGAGGAGTAAATCAATATATATATGGCCTATAAATTATTGTACTGCATGCATCCACTCTTTTTTATAAGAGATATTTTTTCATGGTGATATTTTTAAATAGAAGAAATAAATCTTTTTTATCTAAAACAATTACATACAAGCCCGAAATTAAAAAGAAAAATGGTTCAATTCAGCAATCGGCATGCTTACAAACACTGTTGATCTACCAAGAGTTTCGCTGGGAAAAAGATTCCGTCATTTGAGCCTTGTCTTGAAACCTTCTAATCGTTTTTTTTTTTTTTTTGGTTGGGCAAATTCTAGTCGTTGTGGTAGGAATTCAAACAAAAACCTTGGAAACTAACAGTTACAACAAAAGACATCTTTAATAATTAATACCACTATGCTCTACGTAGGGGCTGAGTTTAATCCCACTTTATATATTTATATATGTAAAGTAGGCGTGCAGCCATTGATATAATACTTCAAATTTTTTTAACACAAATATATAATATTCTTTTGATTCTATTTATACTTTATTTTCATAATATTTTATTTAAAAAAATCTTAATCTTCATTAACTCTATTTTAAATTTTTAAAATTTAAAATTTTTAAATTTATATTTATTTAATATATACATTTTTAAGAAAATAACAATATATACAATAATAAATGAATGGCACAAGTATACATTTTAATTTAAAAAATTAATAATATAACTTATAAATAAGAAAAAAAAATTCTCTCTAACTTGCAGATAAGATCAGAGAAGTACATCAATATGATCAAAAATTGACATCTTTAGCTAAAAAAATTATAAAGTACTATTATTCATTAATTATAAATAGTTTGACATCTTTTACTTATCAATAATTAATGATAAACTTAATAGTTTGCTGCACATATTTTAACTATATCAATTCAATCGATATTAATTTTTGAATAAAAATATTATACAGAGACAAAAATGATTAATTAAACTTTTTTTAACATTTTATCAAAATAAAAATATATTTGAGCTATCATCTACCTATAACCATTGCAACAAAACCCCCTATTTGGAGCGTTGCAAAAGCCCTAAGCCAAGAGACACGTTTTATGGAGCAAAATGCAAAAGCCTGAGCAATTTGATAGATCTCCATGTCCGACTAAAAGTTGCCGCCTCAACACATCAATTCAATCATTTTCATTTCCAATATTCTCTGAAATTCAGTATTTGTTTTCTTTCCTTTTATTCTTTTTTTTTTTTTTTGATTCGTTATAACCCTTGTAAAAGCAAGATTAAGGGTATCTAAATTTAAAATAAATTAACACGACCACCTAAGAAGAAGCAAAAGGAAAATATTATGGTGTGTTTAGATATATCTAAAAATATTTTTTTTGTAAATTGAGATAAATTTTTCTGTATATTTATTTTATATATTGTAAAATTATTTTTAAAATTTTAGTTTTTATTTCAGCGCTCTTAAATAGAGGATATTTTAGTAAAATGGCAGCGTAAAATAATTGAACGGGTAAAAGAGGGGAGAAAGAGAAAGCAAGCTAGAAGAGCTAAATGAGAGTGGTCCCATATTCGGAATAGCAGAAACCCAGCACTGTCTCTTCCTTCGTTCTCATCTCCATCCTTCCATCGCTCCCACCTCCACCTCCTCCACCACTGCCCAGTGACTTCACCCCCCCTCTCTCTTCTCTCTCCCTCATCCAAACACACAGCTTGTGATTGTGTCTGTGCCTATCTCTCTCTCACTCTCTCTCCCTATATTGCCTATATGTACACGCACCCCAACGGTTCTCTCTTCTATGTCTGTTTTTCCCCGTGACCTACTCTCTCTCTCTCTCTCTCTCTCTCTGAACTTAACACTGCTCAGTACTGTCTTTGGCTCCCTCGTTACAATACTTTCCTTCACCAAAACCAATTTGATATCTTCAATACTGGGTTGGTTGTTGTTTCCGGGGGCTCTGGGATTTTGGAACACTCTGTTTTAGAGTTTTTACTTGGCAGTGTCCTCAAATTTTGGTTCCTGTTTCAATAAGGGAAGTGAGGGAATTTTTTTTACTACTTGGTTTATTTATTTTGTGTGGTTCTGGGGTGTTCCACTTCAATTATATTCCTATACTTCTTGGCTTTTTCCCCTCGTTTCTCATTCAGTTCTATTTCTTTTTTCAAATAAACAAGGCCAACACCTTTTATTCCCTGTACTTTTTGGGTTTAGGGTTTTGCAACTTTTTCCCTCTGCCAGTGGCTTCTCGCTTTACTCCCCACTTCTCATCAGTCTGGGGAAATAAAATGAAGCATGTTTCATTGCTTTGAGCTTTTCCTGTACTTCTGGGTTTAATCCTCTGAAACTCTTGAGCATCTTTTTACGCTTTGTTCACTTGTTGTTCCTGAATTCTGCATGCTGACTCAAATCTTTTTCTCACTGATGCATTTGGTGCTTTGAATGACCTTCAATATCTAACCTGTTTCGAGCTTCTTCCATTCACAAATGTCTGCGTGTTTAAGCGGAGCTAGTGGAAGAACTTATGGGTTCGATTTCGATTTTGTCAAATCTCCGTCTACATCGACCCGAACTACATCTTCTTCTCCTTCTTCAACTATCTCGGAATCGAGCGATTCTCCGCTTGCTATCTCCACTCGAAAATCTCGAACCCCTCGAAAGCGACCCAACCAAACTTACAATGAAGCTGCCGCAATGCTTTCGACAGCATACCCAAATCTCTTCCCCTCCGAAAGCCTAAAAAAACCAGGCAAGTTCACCAAAACAATCGATAACTTTGCGGATGAATCTTCAGAATTGTTCTTCCCTTTCCAAATATTTGATACCTCCTCTTTCCTACTTCAGCACCAACCAATCCAACAGAAGCCTGTTAAATTTCCAGTAGAGCCCAAAGCGGTTAATCTGACAGAAAAATCGTGCCAAAGTCCTGGGGAGATTAGCTCCGGAGTAAATACTCAAGAATTCGACGATGATTGCCGAGAAGATTTCGATGCTGAATCGATTCTCGATGAGGAAATCGGGGAGGGAATCGATAGCATCATGGGCAGCAGGGCCGAAGATTCCCATGGCGCGTCTTGTCACGACGAACACGTGAATCACCGGACTGCGGATTCGACGGGATTTAATTTTGGCGGGAAATTCGATTTCCGGCTAAGAGCTCTCCGCGGGGTCGATGAAGGGAATTATTGGTGGAGCTTTCCCGCTGTTGTCAACATGCTCGAAATCTCACCAGAAATCAAAAAGCCTACTCCGGCAGCATCAACTTCGCCGGAGAAGAAGAAAAAGAAGAAGACGAGGAAGGTGGAAAAGCTGACGACCATCGAGTCAAAGATTCCGGAGTTGCCGAAGGAGAGTTCGATTCCGAAGGAGAAATCAAATCCTGGCTTGCTGTTGAAATTGAATTACAACGAGGTTCTTAATGCTTGGTCTGACCGGAGTTCACCGTTCACCGGCGAAAGTCCCGCCTCTGATGTGCACGGAAATGATGTCGCGGTACGTTTCTCAGCCGAAATTGATTTTTCTTAATCAAACACACCATTAACCTTTTTCGGTTAATAAATGATATTATAATAATAAAGTATATGCACTTTATGCATCGCTGTGGGGATTGGATTTTCAGGTGTTTTTTTAGCTCTCACATGGTGTTTAACTTATTATTAAATGTGTGTTAATGTAGTTATAAAATTTTGAGTGCATCATATTAAACTAAGGGGTCCAATTTTTTTTTAATCCCCTTTTTTTGGACCCTTTTGAGACCTCTTTGAATTACTCCATATTAGTAATATATTCAGCAACATTCTTAACAGGACATAAACACGATAAATATGAGTGGATTTCCAATAAAATAATCTCAAATTTAATTTCTTGAAACATGCTTATTCGGGTCCGTTTTATTTCATTGTTATTACTTATTAGTAGAACCTCAAACTTCCGTTGGCAAAAAGGGGGAAAAAAAGAAAGTAGAACCTCCAACTTCCAAATCTTCCCATGCAAAAGAATGTTATTTTTTTTTTCTTGATTAATTTTGGCTCCTGTCCTTAATTTGTAATCTGACTCCCACAGATTTTACTTCACTCCTATTGAGTGTCCACCACAACAGCTTCACATAAAAACTTTTTTATTTTCTTTGACCATGAATTAATAATGCATATGTATTTTTTAAAATTTTTTATATGAACAATACTTCCTGTACTTAATATAAGAATTATTTTGACTTTTAGTTTGTTCTTAAATATAAAACACAAATTCAATCTGTCTTTAATATTTATTTATTTTGCAATCAAGTAATTCCTATAATAGTTACATACGTTAAGGAATTAATTCGTAATTCAAACACATATGATTAATAAGGATATTTTAAAAAAAATCTATTTACTAAAAATAATTAATTTTTTAAATTATTTAAGATTAGTCAATTATATCTTATATTAAAGACCATAATAATTGTATTGAAATTGTCCATGGCTTATATATATTGTGGGGACAGGCACGGCTGGCACAAATAGATTTGTTGTGGGAGAGTGGAGAAGGAGGGGTGATGAGGGAAGCCAGCGTGTTGCGCTACAAAGAAAAGCGACGGACCCGGCTCTTCTCTAAGAAGATTAGATATCAAGTGAGGAAAGTCAACGCTGATCAACGGCCCAGAACGCAGGTGTGACTATGATTTCATTTCCCCCTGCCTTCTTTTTTTAACAATTAACATCATGTGGTCCATACACGAAAGTTTAGTGGGGAAAATGTGATTTACTAAATTTAAGCAAATCTGCTCCTGTGTTTCTTTTTTTTCTTTTTTTGGGATATGGTGATTAGATAATGAGCGCCTCAAAATGATGGGGAGTGGGCCCGTTCCAGATTGTTGGTCCGATTTCATAGGATCCATCATCTCATTCACTTTGTTCTTTTCTTTTTTTTTTTTGAGCAAAATTCACTTTGTTCTTTTAAAAGACCATTTTTTGCCTTTTCCTTTTTGCTGCCATCATTCTTCGTTCCTATCGGATTACTGTTTATTGTGAAGCAACTTTCTTTACTGTTCATGGAATCCCAATTTCATGAATATACAATGGAGGACCTAATGCGTGTTCAGTTTCACATCACAAATCCTCAAAACCACACTTTTAACCGATAAAACAAAGCAATGGCTTTATTTATTCCAATTCCATTTATAAAGTATTTCTAACATATTTTATCCGAAATCAAGCAAAACATTATATCTTTGTAATTTTTTCATAAAATTTAATAATTACTCAATTTTATTCTAATTTAATATATATATATATATATATTTTTAAAATAATAACCCACAAAACGATAAATTAAAGAGTATATATGCATGCATGGCTTCGGTTTGGTTAAAGGGTAACACGTGTGGGGCTTTTTTTGGATTGTGGCAGGGACGATTTGCGAGGAGGCCCAATTGTTGCTCTAACGCACAAAGCTCAAAGTGCAAAGGCAGTAAAGCAGGCCTTGCGTCCGATCACTGTCGACCATAAAAGAAAAAAGGCCCACATTTTTTATTTGTATTAATTTCCTTTTTCTTTTTTGTTGTTTCTCGTTTTATTTCACAAGAGAAAAGCCCACGAATAGAGTGGAGCTATATCAAACTTTTTGGCGGTTGGGTGATTTGGGGTCTCACGATAAATAAACATTGTGATATCTTTCAATAAAAGAAATGTCTTTAATGAAGTAGCTATTCTCATGTGATCTGAGGCATCTGAATCCTGTCATCATCCTGCGTATCTCTGTGGTCTGTACAGCGCACCCATGGGCGCACTGCATCAGCCCATACAATCCAACGTCTCGCATTATGCCATGTCATTCTCATGTTAAGAACTGATCTCTTCCGTTGGTTTATAGAGAATCCTAACCGTCCATACCGGAGGGCGTTAAGCGTGAAATCGCCTCCAAATTGCCTTCCTGCCCAGTTCACTCTCCTCTGGACAAGTATTATTCCCTTTATTTGTTTTAAAATTAGAATGATGGATATGAGATTGACATTATAAGCAGAAGTGAATCTATAACCTCTATCCTGTAAACAAGCTTTTAAAGTTCCCTACAAGAAGGAAAATGGAGTATAGATGTAGGTGATGCCGGTTATGTTTGGCTATTCTTAAAACCATTTTTAAAAAGTATTTTTATGTAAGTTGAGATAAAAATTTTCTCACATACTTATTTTGTATAACGTAAAATTACTTTTAAAATTATTGTTTGATTTTTACTCAAACACCCTCTGTTTGAGTTGCAAAATCTGCCTTTCACATAAAATATATAATTAATTAATCTAATTAATTTGGGAGGTGTTTAGAAACCCAAAAAGCACTTTTAGAAAGCACTTTCATATAGATCAAGACAAAACTCCTTTCACATACTACATTTGATCTTTAATATAAGAGTTAATTTGACTTTTAATTTGGTTCTAAATATAAGAATTTAATTTACTCTGTTTATCATATTTATTTATTTTTTTAAGGTAGGCATTGTACTAGTTGCACATATTAAAGATTTCATCAAATAGTAGTTTTAAATAATACACATGATTAATAAGATTATTCTATGAAAGATAACATATATTTATAAGAATAACTAACTTGACAAACTTCCTTGATTTACTCAAAATTGATCAATTAGTTCTTATATTAAGGATCGGAGGTAATACTTACTTCATATATTGTAAAATCTTATGGTTTAATTTGTATCCAAACACCTCTAATTAATCAATGGGAGATGTGCGATAAATGACCAGTTTGGTTGATAGTCATGGTTCCTGTACAAGTAAAGTCAATATAAAAATGAGCTATAAATCAGACTAGTATTTGGTTTTCATAGAAATAAAAGGACGAGTTTGTCATTATCCACGTGCCTTTTAATCCCAGTGTCAAATTAATAAAACATACCAAGTTTATTAACAGTTGCACTTTTTATTAGTCACCACTAGTACGGTCTCTAAAGTTTGATGCCTATTTTTATTTTCTTCAAATCTTTTTCACATATTTAATCTAAACACGCGCAATTTTCTTTTTAATCCGTCAATTTTTTCACGTTTTTTTTAATAAGATTTGAATATTAGATAATAAATGCATTATTTAAGAAAATTTTGTGCGTCGCACAGATTAAAAAAAAAAAATCTAGCTACAAACACTACCACAAAAAAGAAGTTTTAAACTTAACTCTTCATGCACCTGAAATGTCGGATGTGCTGATTCTGATATGCAATCCAGGCATGGCGAAGAGCGGTTTTCTGCCTCTTGAGTCTCTGAAATATTATCGACCGTATATTGTCATGTGATTATATAATAATAAAAATTAATTCCATAAAACTTTAAAATAAAATTTAGTTTTTAAAATTATTTATTAGAAATTTGAAAATATATGGGGCTTGCATGTAATATTACCCTTCCAATGTTTGTGCTGGAATTCGGGAGCCAAGGTCGGCGGCATCTGAGGAGGAAGAGGAGTTTTGCAAAATCAGTATGAGGGCCACAGGAAGAAGTTTTTCAGGAATTTGATCCGCGAAGTCTTACCTTACGTTGACCCTATTCTCCTATTTGACCTTCCTATGAAAATCTCGCTTTTCTGACTTCTAAGCTAGTGACTCTTGAGACAATATCTTTTCTATTATTTCACCTTTCTCCACAACCATGGCATCAATTTTTTTTCGCCGGAAAATATCATCTTATGGGGTTTCCCGCACTTTACACGGTTTAACTTTGATACTCTTATTTTTGTTTTCGTTGTTTGTTCCGTTTTCGATTATGTATTTGATGAAATTTGGTGAAATTTGTTATGTCTTTGTGTGAAAGGAGAGAGCTGTTTTATTGTTAATTTGAGTAGGTTCCTGTTTTAAGAGCTAGCACAAAACTGGAGCCTGTTATATGGGGCATTCAATTTGGTGGAACCCAATCCATTGCATCTTTATAACTGAAAGTAACATGGCGTGAATTCTTTTTGGCTGCTAATTAATTACAATGGCGTTTAGGAAATGAAGTTTTTATCTCTTTATAGTTTATTTCTTGACTGCATTCTTCCGATTTGAGGAATACCGTGCTATATGTATTGAGCCCATGTAGCCGTTGGGAGTAGCGCCTTGAACTCTTTCCTCTGTAAAATCATAATTAAACCCTTTTTAATTGTACAACCAAACAGCAACATTGTCTAAAGTCGCTTATCTGTGCTTTCAGTTGGGAGCCACTTGGCCGGAAAACAACCTGCCACTTAATGAGTAGGCTTTTTAAAGACCTAGCCTTGTGTAGGGATTATAGGTGTCTTCATCAAAGGTGGAATGGAACCTTCGTTTCATTACTTTTGTTGTTGTAAATTGGAGAGATGATTTCATTAGCGGCAACTTGATGAGGAGCACAAAGCTTATGACTGCTAATTATTTGTGAATATTGAAAAGATGCTGTTACTAGATGTGATCAATAGAGAATTATCCACCTTTTTTCCCCTCAACTTGAAGTTCAAAAAGTTTCTTGGTTTTTCATGTTATATCATATGTTTGTATTTGGTACGTTAGCAAATCCCATGCGTTTGATAATTAATGGTGGTATATATTTCAATAATGCTGCTCAAAGTGTTATTACCACTAAACAGAAATTGCTGCTGAAGTTCAATTGTTTCTTTCTTTTTTTGTGGGGGGTGCAGTGTAAATGAGTGCAATTGTATGTGTTGATTATTTGTTGGTATTTTTCTTTACATCTTTCATTCGTCAACTCCTTATGCAGGTAATGGTGAGCCTTTTCATCTATATTTTAAATACAAGTTTGGATGTTTTAGTAGCCCTTCAAACAGGATACAGCTGTACAGCAGCCTCAATGATACCGACAGGATTGATTTAACAGACTTAACGTATGTTTATATGTCTCTAATGCTTTATTGGCTTAAAGCAACTGTGTTAATGATCGTGACCATATGATCTTGGTTTACATAATAGCCCTGATCCTAAATTCATGTTTGTTGTAGTTGTCCTCATACATGGTACCCACTGGCCCGGAAGAAACAGCGCAGGGTTATATTGCATGTTGGTCCCACAAATAGTGGTAAAACACATCATGCTCTGAAGCAACTTGAGTCAAGTTCTTCTGGTACATCACTATTCTACTTTCTACTATGATAATCTGTAAACAATGTTAAGGAGCATTAAAATTTTCTGAGTAGGTTAAGTACCTTTTTGCTCTGCAGGCTTGTATTGTGGTCCTTTAAGATTGTTGGCATGGGAGGTAGCAAAACGGTTAAACAGGGCAGAAGTGCCTTGTGATCTCATTACTGGTCAAGAACGTGAGGAAGTTGAAGGTGCGAAGCACAAGGCTGTGACAGTTGAGATGGCTGATGTAACATCCAAGTATCATTGTGCTGTTATTGATGAAGTACAGGCATGTCAACTGTTGATTTTGAGATTGACTTCTCAATCGTAAACAGCTTCTAGGGTCTGTTGATGTCATATGAATCAAAAGTATAAATTCACATCAATATAAGAGGATAAACCTTTATATGTTAATCTTCTTGTTATCATGTTATATCAGTGATTCTATATGTATTATTGCTGATATTTATTTTTCGATTGAGTTAAAAGATCATCTCTGTAATTGAAGCATCTGTACATGTGTAGTTTTCCATTCCCTGTAACCTTTACTTTTCCTTTTTCTTCCAGATGTTGGGGTGTAATATGAGGGGCTATTCATTTACACGTGCTTTATTAGGAATAGCTGCAGATGAACTTCACCTCTGTGGTGATCCAGCTGCTGTTCCTCTCATTCAGGAGATACTGAAAGTTACGGGAGATGAGGTTGAGGTATTGAATTTTCTATATATAAACAACCCCTAGTTGGGGGAATCTGTGGCAATCATTGTTGACAAGGCACAGTGTTAATTTATGGCGTTTTCATCAAAATTTTTAAATTTTGATATACTCTCTTCTTCATGCCTGCTTTAGGTTCAATATTACGAGAGACTGTTACCTTTAGTTCCTTCAAAGACTCCTCTTGGATCTTTCTCTGATGTACAAAAGGGTGACTGCATTGTTACCTTTTCGCGTAAGGGTATATACAGATTGAAGGTCAGTTTTTCACTTTGTCAAATTTATTCTGAAGTTAAGTTGGTTTTTCTTCATTTTTGCTTTTCTCACATGATGGAGCGTCGTCACCCTTTTTATCATTGTTTCTCCGATTGTTTCTCATGTATGAATGGTTCTGGAATACGAAGTCAGCTGATTTCCTTGTAAAAGCAAAGAGCATCGGCATTTTAATAGTACAATTAATTGGAGATTGTGAAGTAACTTGCTAAATCAAACAGAGAGCTTTGGTGATCTGGTGTTGATAGCCTGACTCATGGTCCCTTGTTTTAAAGCAGCAGATTATCTTACGTTAGCGGTTGAACTCTTGATATACTACTTTTGAGTTTGCAATAAATACGGAACAGTGGAAAAGAAAAGGAAAAAGATATTATAATCTGATGTGAATGTTATTGAAATACTAATCATTGAGAGATTCGTAGGTTATCAACTGAAAAATTATTCTTATTTATTCCTTTGCAGTAATTTTAATGATATTGATATATAAAATTTTTCTAGGCTTTGCTTTTCTTATATTGAGTCAACTCACTACTGATTTTCTTGGGAACTTGAAAATAGTTATTTTTAAGTCAATACATTTGCATTGTTAACTTGCTGAGCATGATTAGGTGTGGACATGATGGGTATCTTAGTGTTGGGAAACTCTCCTCCAAAAGCTACGTATTAAGGTGAGAGAACCAACACACTTAAATAACCTATCGAAAAGGACTTAGGCATCCTATTGTCACCTTAGTCTCATCAATTGGCCCTCCTTGGAGAGCTAATGCCCCAACAACTGTATCCTGTGGTACTTCATTAGTAAAACTTCAGTTGGTTTCTTGCTTGTCAGAACCCTCCACTAGTTAGAATCCATTACATGTAGCCTTTTGTAAAATCTCCAACCACCAACTTTGATACCGATGGATGGGTACCTTAGATTGGGAATCCTCTCCCAGAAACTAGCTACTGAATTAGAACCAACCCACTTAACTACCTTATAAATCATCTCATACTATTCAATATGGAACGTGGACATCCCTCACCACCTAAATCTCCATCAATATGTATGGTACCACTGTGGATACTGTGCTATCGTGAACGAATTAGAGTAGAAGAGTCGTACAATCATTTCACATATTAAAGATAGTAGTTGTCTTTTAAAAAAACAACACTCTATTGCACCACAAGAAATCCATGTAAACACGCATATCCCATAATAAGGGTGAATGTCTTCCCTTGAAGATGTGGGCGTTCCTTTTAACAAGTCAAACCACAAAGTTGAAGCCTTCTCTCATTGCCAAATGCTGCACAGTTTTGTGGCATGGACTATGGTGAATACTTCTTTTTGCTAAAATTGGTCCTATTCGCCTCTTTTTTATTGTGACCATCCATGGTGGCTTGAGGAAGAAGTATATTTGTAGTTACTGCCTGGTTCAGTGATTCATATCCTACGGGAGTTAAAATTGGTTTGTAGTTTACATTTCTCTGTTAATGAGCTGAAGTGGTCTCCTCATACTTGGTTTGCACAATTTAATACTGTTGTTTAGCAGTTTAGTGTAACCTGGTGCGAGGTTGACCTTTTGATCGCTGTGCTTCAAATCTGTGTGTTTAATGTATAGGCCCTTTGCATTACATGGTTTTCATGGCTAAAAATCTAAGTGATGATTAGGCATGTCTCGGGTAAATATCTGCAAATATGAATCGCATCCTAGGATTATTCTAGCCGGAGAGCATAACACAGCTCTGTCATGTATTGTATAGTGTAAACATCTTGTAATACCATTTTTGGTTAAGTTAGTATTTTCATTTAGACATCCTAAGTTTTAACTCTTCCCTAGTGTCATATGTCTATGGCAGGCAGTGAAATACTGCCCTGCACTGAGGCCAAAGTGAGACACAGCCTGCGGAAAATACCTAGGAGCACTCTGTAGAGTTTTGAACTTGGGGCCAGTAATAGAGGGTTATTAGTAGGTGTTAGAAGTGTTCTATGTTCATTAAGACTATGAGGGATTTAATTTGTCAAAATTCTTATTCGCTTTATGCATTAATGTTCTTTTCTGTTTTGGACATAGAGATTACTTTTATAGACTTGTTGAAATGCTGCGGTTAATTTATTTCTAGTTCTGCCAATTTATTTGTCTAGTTGTGTCATGTATGCTTACATAGTTAAGCAAACAGGGAATGACACGGCTGATTTTTCTCCTGTGTGCGCGTATGTGCAACTGTGTTTTTATTGGGACAATATTTACACCTTGCTGAACTTATGTTCACAATATTTCTCAGAAGAAAATTGAGAGTGAGGGAAAGCATCTGTGCTCAGTAGTTTATGGCTCACTGCCCCCAGAGACTCGAACAAGGCAGGTATGGATTCTAATTTATGTCTAATAATGTTAAATCTGGATTCTCATAGGCTTTTTTTTTTTTCCTGTCATGTACGAGAACTTTGATTAGTTCACAGGTATGCAGGAGGTGACGGGTTCAAACTTTACATTTATCCAACATTTTGTGCCTCATTATATATGATAAAACTAGCGAAAACATACCTTTTAAATATAACAATTTGATTTCAACTTATTCTTATGTATAGTGTTTACATATATACACACACATGGATAGAAATTGAAATGATACAATGTAATGATGAGTGCTTAGTTGAGATGGGAAACCTTTCCTAAAAGCTAGCTTCTGTTGTGGGATAGCCATCCCACTTAATTACCCCAGTGAACATCTTATACGACTTAATGTGGAATCGTACTACCTAAGTCTTCATCAATTGGCTCCCTTTGAAGAGTTGATGTTTTGATGGTTGCACTCTCAGACAGTTTAATTGTTGTTGCTTTGCTTAACTTCCTTGCCGGTGAAAAACTTCCATAGTTCGAAATGCAGTAGCTCTGTTTTGGAAACAATGGTGCCAATTGATTGGCATTCAATTGCCTCCCACTTAGATATCAATCAATTGGTACCAATGTCTCTATCATGAATAGCTATTGAGGTGGGAGAATTAACCCATTTAAATATGCCATTGACTATCCCATACTACTCAATATGGAGTTAAGGCATTGATACTACGTGAGTGTCCTGTAACTTTATGTTTATAATATGTGTGTGTGTGTGTAGCATATGCGCTAATTGAACAATTGATAAAGTAATGAGTAGTGTAACAGTCTTTTATAAAGAATGTTATGAGCATGCTGTGATTGAAGAATGATAAAATGATATAAAAAGTGATTTACATTTGTCATCTTCTGGCCTCAAAAGAGATTTGTTTATATTTTCGTGGTAAACATGAGATTTGTGTTATTTGGGTGTGTCTCATAGGAGAGGAGAACATTTTGCCCTAAAAATTAGCATATATTGCATTATCTTTTATTTGTAATTTCCCGGTACGTAATAAGTTTTCCCATGTTTTTCTTCCTGTTTTCCTAATTTGAACTAACTGAATGATTTGCTGAGTAAAAAAAAAATGTTCATTGGACTTGCAGGCAACCATGTTTAATGATGCAAGTAGCGAGTTTGATGTTCTTGTGGCCAGTGATGCCATTGGAATGGGTCTTAATCTGAACATTTCTCGGATTATATTTTCAACTATGAAGAAGTTTGATGGTTTTGAGATGCGTGATCTCACTGTACCTGAAATCAAGCAGATTGCAGGTATCCTGAATTTATGTATGAGAGCACTTTATCCTGGAAATTGATTGAGGATGTGTGTTCTTTGGAGTAAACATATATTTAGGGTAAATTTAATGTGTTATATTTAGTTTCATCCTTGTCTTTTTCTTTAAGACTCTTTAAATATTGAATCAACTCCAAACTCTTGTCTCATCTGTCTTTGAGTTTGCCTGAGTTTCATACAGAAAGCCCCTATTTGTGTGATGGTGTAGTCTTGTTGAATTAAATTCCTTAAATATAAAAGGCGCAGGAAGGCATTGAACATATTGTCATCAAATGAAGCTCTTTTGGTGTCAAAGGAAAAAAGGATAGTTAAAGCATCCTATATTATGAGTATTTACCAATCACCAATGTGCGGATGAATTAATATTTTGTTCCAGTTACTTCTGCAATGCTTGTCAGATCTTCTAAGATAATTAGGTATCTATTAAGCATCTAGTTTCTGTTTGATAAGTCAGTTAAAAGTCACTAAGTAGGATTTGGAGATGTTAATCTTCATAATCAGTGGTCTTACTTGCCATTGAGAACTAGGAGAATGTGTCTGTTTAGGTTTCAGTCTACCACAAAACCTAAAACAATGTTTAAATAGGGGATTTCTTAGTCCTTTTTCAACAGATAATAATGAGCTTTTCCTCTCTGTTACAGTCTGTGGTTTACTTCCAGAAAACTGAAGGTCAGATTTCAGAGGAAGCAAGCCACTGTCTGAAGATGACTCTGCCCCATTTCATCCTTTCTATTCCATTTGCCTCTTTCATCCAAAGCCATAATTTGATTGAATTTCTAAGCCGCACATTCCCAGTTTGTGCTATACTGCTTTGGCCTTTTAACATTTCATTTAAAATTTCTCTCCTTTTATTGCCAATTGCCTCTATGTTATGGGCTATTCTCTGCTCTCTAGTGGAAAGATGTTTATTTTTATTTTTTATTTCAATTTAGAACTCATAACTAACAACTAAAACATATTACATATTTATAATATGTGTGGTTAGTGAAATTTTAATTTTAGTTCCTCGAGGTTGCTCAATAAAGCAATCTAGTCTCTTTTCATTTTGAGCATTGTTGGCTATTCCCATTGGAGCAATATGGTCCTTTTGGTGTCAACTGAAGCAATATTGTTGCGCTAACCATCAAATCAAAGCCATTAAATATCAAGTAGGAGGGGCAAAAGATTCATTATATCAATGAAAAGAGAATCTAAAAGTTCTTAAATTACTATTTTTTTCCCACAATTAGAGGGGTTAAGTTACTCTAATGAGTAAACTAGAGGGACTGAATTGCTTAAGTATGTAAACTAGAGGGTCAAGATTTGTTCATAAAAATAAGGACTGACTGATGGAATCAAAGGACCTCAAAGCTACTCTATCCCAGCTGGAAGGAATACATCTGTGGTTCCTCGTGCATTTTGTTCCAGCCATAAGCATGACATGCCTTCAAAAACAGCAGATTACCAAAGGATATCATAATCCTTATTGCTTCCAAAGCCTCCCTATCTTTTTGATGGGAAAGGTCTGAATGGGCCAGAATGACATTATTTTCATAAAAAAAGCCCAAAAATCTGTTTAAAAAAACTAGGTCCATTTTGTAGTTATTTTGATAATTCTATATGTTATATTACAGAGGAGTGGCATGCTTGTGCATTCTGATCATTCATTTGTTTTATTTTTGTTCTCTACTTTGTTTGTTTGGAGTTTTTACTAAAATAATCTTTACATTTGAATTTTGTGGTAATTCTTTAGTTGCGTTGAATGCCTCTGCTTGTAGGGAGAGCTGGTAGATATGGGTCTAAGTTTCCAATTGGGGAAGTAACATGTTTAGATGCAGAGGATCTACCCTTGCTTCATTCATCATTAAATTCTGCATCACCCACTTTAGAGGTATCCTTCAAAGCACCTGATACCAAGTATATATAACTACGACGAGAAACAAAAAGCTAGTAATATATTTTAGTACTAATTTACGCTTAGCTAACTTGATTTCAAATCTGCTGTTGCTGATTTGTCTTATGACATGTATACCTCTTTTCTTACGCAGCGTGCTGGGATACTTCCTCCGTATGATCTCATGCATATACATTCACGACTACACCCCAAAGATAGTTTCACACAGATACTGGTAGGTTGGCATAGTAGTCAAATAATCGCATGATACTCTATTTACTCATTGATTCTTTGTTCAAATCAGAAATATCTATCTGTAAGCTAGAAATTTGACAGTGTTGGTAGTAGTTGTTATTATCATTTATCTCAATTGGTCATTTTTGGAGCATCTCACTTTAATTTCATGGGATTATTCCCACTGATTTGTTCCCTGATTTGATCTAAGTCAGATGTGATTCAGATCTGATACAGCAGCTATTTTGCCGCCTTAGATTCCCTTAATTTGTATGGTTTTGCCCCTTGTTCATTGCTGGGTATTGTCTCAAAGCGGAAGGAACTACTTATGTGGTGTCATCGTACCATATTGATGAACATCTGTGGCAGAGGAATGGACAAAAACATCGTTGGTGCTGGCAAACAACTTGATTCCAGTGACACCAAACATGGTATTTAGGTCGTTGAAACTAATCTTGTCATGTCATGGCTGCCTAAACAGAACATTGCGACTCATGAGATTCCCCAATTACATTTGAAATTGCAGAATAAGATCTTTGGCCACTAATGTTTGATATGATATTCTCATCAAACGTAGCTCCTGGAGTGCAACTGGCTTCCCATAAGTTGCCCCCTTCACATTCTTATAGCATAGCAGCTCTTCTCGGCTAGAGTTGTCCATACTGTAGCTTCCTATAAGTAATCCTTAACACTTGATAGTTTCATTGGATCATGATTTGTGTGTGCAACTCCTTTCTAATTGTTTTCCACGGCCATCATATCATGGATTTTGTGATTGGTAGTTTGGTTGTACGATGGACATGCCATGAAGTCAATTATTTGCCCCCTTTATCTATCAGATGTCATGCTTGAAGAATTCTAATCACTTTAAAATGCACCTGAATGACCATCTAGTTGTAGTTCTGATGGCCCCAGCCTTTGTGCAAACTTGAAAATGTGATTGTGCTTTGTTCTTACTAAAGCTTTTTCTTTTTTGTTGCAGGAGCATTTTTTAGACAATGCGAAATTATCAGAGAATTATTTCATCGTTAATTGTGAAGATTTATTGGTATGTTTAATTATAGCTACCTTGCCATGTAATCAAGGACATTTGATATCGATTTTCATTATTTATTATCACTTCGATTACTTCCATTCTATCATATGTTTAGTGGTTGCCATTTGGTTGTAATGTGGATGGTAATTGCAATTGCTGTCATCAGAAAGCCGCTGCTATTATCGATGAGTACCCACTTGGATTGCATGAAAAATATCTTTTTTGCATAAGGTATATTCTTTTCCTCCAAAAAATTTACCAATATTTGGCATGTCATTTCCAATTCTAAGAATCAGGGTGTCTGTCTTTTCTTATCACTTTTCTTTTAACTGATATTTGTGATATTCAGTCCAGTTGACATGAATGACGAAATTTCATCTCAAGGCCTTACACAGGTAATCAGTCTCTCATCATTATGAGATGTATAAATGTCAGATTGTGGGCATAAAAGTGACGCTATACTTTTTTATCAACCAGTTTGCAGAGACTTTTGCTAAGAAAGGCCTTGTTCGGCTTCGGGAAATATTTACACCAGGTACACTCAGGGTGCCCAAAACACCATCTGCTCTTGAGGAACTTGAATCTATCCACAAGGTGAGGTTTATTTTATATTATTTTCAATTCTTGTCAGTCTGTGTCATTATTCCTTGTTGAATGTATTAATTGACACAAGCTCTAGGCCCCCATTGAAGGTGTTAGCCCTGGCTCATGGGTAAATATTGAACTGTGAAAGATGCATTTACTAAACCTAGGAATGGCCATTAGCAAAAACTTGTATATTCATCTCCTCAATCAACCTACTGTAGCCAGCCCATTTTAGTGACACCAGTGTGTGTGGTAGAAATGTGTTGAAGAAAATGAGGGCCAGACGTATTGAAGGCCTAGGTTTGATCCCATGTATAGATATGTTACTGATGGAATTAGAGGGAAAGAGAAGAGAGGTAGATACGATAGTACTCCTTGTGCATCTATCATCAGTTATGGTAAATACAAAGGCAGTGCAACTAATACAAGAAATAAGTCCAACCCACAATTCAATGATACCCTTATTTTATTTACTTAAAAAAGGTACCCTTATTTTAACCTAATCATCTCACACGTACAATTCAAGCAAGCTGGAAAAAATTAACCCTCACAACATAAAAACTTGATGCCTTAAATTTTAAGAGATGAAGGACTTGATCCTTGTACCTTAGGTAATTGATTCTTGGAGAAACTGAGCCAGTTTAATCTGGATTTTCTTTTATGGATGTAATGTCTCGCGCGCGCGCACTGTCCTAGCATAACGCCGCTTAAGAAATACCAATATTAATTTCGTTTATATTAGCTTGATGGCTATATCACACCATGTGGCATGTCTGCTTTGTATTTAGTTGGCGTGAAGTTCATAGAAAATGATAGTAGTTTGATTTATTGAACTAATCCTTGGGAATCACTTTGATTTTGTGTCAAAATTATAGGTCCTGGATCTTTATGTTTGGCTAAGTTTCCGATTGGAAGATTCTTTCCCAGACCGCGAGCTAGCTTCATCTCAAAAGGCCATCTGCAGCATGTGAGTTGCTTTGTCTTTAGTGATTTGCTGATTTTTTTAGTTCCCTTTCAGATCAAGGCTTAACTGTATAATCAGTGAATAAACTCTAAAATGCAACCAAAGATTACTTTGAACTCTGGATTTACATGAAAGTATCAAATTCCACTTCAAAAAAATTAGTAATAACTGGAAAAGGCCGTGTGAGTGATTTGTCTTTCGACCCCACCAATTGGTGTTAATTTCATTGAGATTTAACATTTTCATCTTGATGAAGTTCAACGATTTTTTTTTGTTTTTTGGTTAGCTCATATTGAAGTTTGTTTCATTTTCACATTGGTGTCTTATTCGGTGAGGTAAAATATGATATATTTTTTTTCCTTTTTTTAATGCCATTTTATGATTATTTTTGGTTGAATTTGAGATGGTAGGTTGATTGAGGAGTTTCTGGAGAGGTTTGGGTGGCAGAAGCGGAATGCAGCAAGGTTGCCAAAGCGTTCCGCTAACATGTCTTCTCTCCTGTCACAACGTGTCAGGCCATATTTGTAAATTACTTTGGGGCTGTCGTGGGTCCCATTCCTGGCCTTTCATTTTTTAATCTTGTAGTTTATTTCTTAATATCTGTAAATTATTCTGATAATATAATAAAAGCAATAGTCATCTGTTTGGGAATTATATCCACTAAATATTTGATTTTGGCTGTAGAGGAAAAGCTTTTTTTTTTTTTGGGGGGGGGAGGCTATTTGAGGGTTAAAGTGTGGTAATTTAAAATAGGATCTGGTTTAGATAATATGAAAATCACTTTTTTTGCCAGAAATAATGTAAGAATAATGAAAAAAATGTTACTTGAGCTGATAATCATGCCGAAAAGATATCCTTAAATATCAATGACCAAACTTGATGTGTGTTCACGGCTTTTAGTAAAATAAATTTTAAATATTTAATAATTGAATTTCTTTACCCCAGTTAATATATGTGCCACAAATGTGAAGCGTTTAACAAATGGATCAGATAGAATGGAAGAATGTTTAAATGAAGTTAGAAGGGTTCAGGAAAGTTTATTTGAGTAAAATAAAAATAGAAATATTAAATCATTCAGACTAAATTTAAATCATCTAAGTCTCCCAATTAACCAATTTGAAAATTGAAATGTCCTCTTAAATAATTGATATAAAATTTAATAAGCCATGCTATTTATAAAATTACCAGTAAATCATTGAGTAGTGTTGCAGTCAAGTGCCTGATTTTTTTTAATTCATTTTTTATTTTACTGGATGTAATTGTCATTGTCCCTAGAATGACACAGTTTTTTTTTTCTTCAATAAACTGATAATGATTTTTTATTTTGGTCAATGTGACAACGTAAGAAGCTTCGTGGTGGAAGAAAACGAGAGGTACGTTCTATTCACACGGCGACAAATAGTTTTGAGGATTGGCAATGCTACACTGTCGTTTTCATTATTCTCGTAATATTTATACATATTTGAGGAAAAATTCACAGAATTTTAAATACTCCTCCGGTCCTTAATATAAGACCCATTTAACTATTTGAGTATTTAAGTAGCATCATATGATATCCATGATATAATATTAAATGCAAAAAATTGCAAAATTTAAGCGACAATAATTTAGTTCGGAAAAAAGCATAATTTATATTTTTTTTTTAGGGATAAGGTGTTGTAAACTTTTTGGTGGGATAAAGTCTCTTGCTTTAATGCTTGAAACAATTGAATTTTCTACCATTTAAATACTACCTTTGGTCCTTAATATAAGATTTCGTTTGACTTTTATTTTGATCCTAAATATAAAACCTCAATCCATTTTGTCTCTAATATTTGTGTATTTTTTCCAAGATAGTCGTTCTAATAATGATAGTTCTAACCAATACACTTGATTAGTAAAGATATTTTAGGAAATACTACTTATTTATTATAAATAACTAACTTAATTTATTTTCTTAATCTCCTCAAATTAGGTAACTAACTCTTATAATTAGAACCGGAAGTAGTATATCTTTTTAAAAATATTAAGTGAGACATCGTGTAATGTGTTACGTTTTTACAACGGATGAATAGTACAAGCTGGCAAAAAAATTCTCCTCCGGTACTAATTATAAGAGCTAATTAACTAATTTGAGGTGATTAAGGAAAGAAGTTAAATTAGTTATTTGTCATAAATAGGTATTGTTTTTCCTAAAATATCTTTGCTAATCAAGTGTATTGGCTAGAACTACTATTGTTAGAAGGACTATCTTGGAAAAAAAATACATAAATAAAAGTCAAACAAGATCTTATATTAAAAACCGGAGGTAGTATAAGATTCTTTTTACACTATAAAATGTGTTTTATATTTAGGAAAGGAGGAATATAATTTATATATTTGATATCCGTTTTAACTTTCATATAGTGTTTCTTAGTTGGTTGTGTCAATCTAAATTATTCGCTCCTATCCATCACATATAGAAATTAGTTGAGAGATTAAATTTGATTTTAAATTTAAAATCTCAAATCAATTTATTTTTCATATTCATTATTTTTATCTAAATTAGTTTTTTTAATACAGGTATTATAATCTTATTCGAGATACTATTAGGTATGTTTGTCAATGAAGATTTAAAACTTTGTTGAGTAACTGAATTGAAGAAGAGTATTCGTTTACTTAATTTTTTTTTTAAAGAAAAAAGTGAAAAGCTTGAAAAGGAAGATGAGGACGAGGAGAAGAAAGCGTCTGCGTCGTACGCGTTGGTTTTTAGGAAAGAGATATAAATTGAAACAAATGAAGCAACCCATTATGTACGTTTAGGCTGTTCGTTGCATACACAGAAATTTCCTTCGTTGTCTTCTCCTCCTCTTACTAATTATACCTATTCCTTTACCCTTGTACGTATTAATGTAATACTGCCTCTTGTACTTGATATGAGACCTACTTAATAAAATTGAAAAAATTAAAAAAATTAGTTAAGTTAGTTATTTATGATAAATAAATATCGTCTTCCCTAAATACCTTTATTGATTATGTATGTTTGGATTACAAATTAATAGTAACTCCTTAACATATGAGACTAACATAGAGAATACTTGAGGAAAAAAATAAACAAATATTAAAGAAGAAGTGGATTAGAGTCTTATATTTCGGATCAAATAGAAAATTAAATTAGTTCTTATATTAAAGATAGGAAGTAGTATTAGTTTAACCAAACAATATTTCATATCACATTTTGTGGTTACCTTGCTTTCAATCAATAATTATCATTTACGTTAAACTTTATCCGGTCAAAGAAAATGGGAAATGTAATATATGTAACGACTGGTACCTGATTTTATTTGGTAAATTATGTGCGTTCAGGCTGTTCTCATGTTACATACACAGAAATTTCCTTCATTGTCTTCTCCTCCTCTTATTCATTATATCTATTCCTTTACCCTCCTGTGTATTAATGTAATGCTACCTACAGTTCTAAATATAAAAACTAGTTGATTAATTTGAGTAGATTAAGAAAATAAATTAAATTGGTTATTTGTGATAAATATGTATTATTTTTTTCTAAAATATCCTTACTAGTCAAATATATTAGCTAAAACTACCATTATTCGAATAAATACATTGAAAAAAATACATAAATATGAGAAATAAAAGAGATTACGGTATTATATTTAGAACCAAAATAAAAATCAAGCGATATCTTATATTAAGGACCGGAGATAGTATTAATTTAACCCAACAATATTTCATATGACATTTTGAAGTTACCTTGCTTCCAGTCAATAATTATCATTTACGTTAAACTTTTTCCGGTCAAAGAGAGTGGGAAATGTAATATATGTAACAACCAGCACCCGATTTTATTTGGTAAATTATGTACACCAATCTAATTTTTTTTCCCACCTTTTAACTAAACAAAAACAATATTACAATCACTGAAATATCATTCGACTGATACAAACACACGCGTGCAAGGCCGAAAGAACACACGCATGCATGCTGAAGATAATTCACAAATATATATATTAATATTAATATTCATGACAAATTCATTATTGAAAAAAGCGCACACACTGATCAGGGATAAGTATATATATTTTGGGCATCTTATTAGTTTACGTGTTTTTTCCATTGTTTCACTTAACTTTTAAATTTAAATAATGAAAAGAATACACAGAGTGCGACGAACATGTAATGTCGCAATATCCTCAATTAGGTATTATAAAGTTAAAAAACAGACAAATATTAATTTAGTTACGGCTATGATGTGGGCCGCACCAGATATTTTGTGGAAATGACATCACATGATGGCGCGAGGGGGGCACCCCCACAATGCAACACCAACATGTTATACACCTCAGCAGGTTGTAGCCTCCATAAATGAATTTATCTCACTATCCTTTATATTAAATTTGGAAAATATTTATGTCAAAAATTTTAAATTCTAATCATATATAATCAGGTGTCCTATTTTTAGGATACAGGGTCAAAGTGTGGTTAAAAAAATTAATGAATATAAAAAATTTGATATGAATACTGTTGGTTAAACTTGGTCGTTTGAGTTTATCTCGCTGTAACTAAGCAGGGTAAAAATAAATTGTGTATGTTTTTAGCATCAAACTAAAATCGGAAAGAAGAAAATAATTGAACCGAATCACCTGATGAATTATTTCAGGTCGATTTTTCGATTTTATCAATTTTTGAGAAGCTCCCTAAATGAAAAAAAAAGAAAGAATATTGTATTGGACTTGAGCAGGAACAATATTATTTTCTTCTCTTGAAATTTTTTCGTAATAGTATGACTATGTTTCCCAAAAAATACAAATGGGAAAATATTATTTTTTCTGCTGTAACTTTTTTTGTAGCTACAGAACCACAGGAAGCCTAATGTTCTGCCTTTAATTTGGATTTTAACTGTTATTTACTTTTCTTTTCTAATAACCTAACGAAAAACCAAACTCTAAATATATACTCCTTAAACAGAAGCCATATCCAAAATAAAAAAGGAATTGAAAAATCGAAATGAATTTTATTCGAATTGATTTTTTATTTCCATTCAATTTTGCTCACTCCTTACCACAACTAAAAAAACACGAGAACTAACCTAATTTAAATGCAGCCAAGGAAAACAAGAGAAAGCAATAAAATTCTTTTACTAATTATATTTTCAGATTCCCTCCCTATCGTTTATATTTTATAGTGGAAATTGGAAACACCAAATATTACATTCAAACGCCTCATCATCCTTGTCGTTTTTCTCATCGCCTTCCCCTTTTGACTTTTTCAATGAACTAATCCTTTTTCTTTTTTTAAAAAAATTTGGTGATAATGAACTAATCCTTCGACATTACATTTTTTTTGAAAAAATACTTCTATGAAATGACTTTTGATTTTATATACTCCTCCGATCCTTAATATAAGACCCATTTAACTAATTTGATTAGATTAAGAAAGTTAGGTAAGTTAGTTAATTATAAGAAAAGTGACACATTTTTCCTAAAACACTATAATCATCTTTCTTAATACTTCTCTCCCTCTTCTATTTGATTATGGTTGAGGGAGTATCTATAGGGATAATTTAAAGAAAATTAATATATATGAAAAATGGATCTTATATTTAGGATCAAAACCAACTCAAAAATTGAATCATATATTAAGGACAGGAGGAGTATATACTTATTAATTTGAAAATTATTTCG